GATAACTACATATAATTTTATTTATCTAGCTAGGTTATTTCATCATAGTTGGACTGCAGTTTCGACCTCGACCAGGCCTCATCAACACCTACGTCAAGTGAAATAGCGAACATGCAGGTTGGAAGAAGCCTAACTTGCCTTGAATATTGCATTTGAGATCAGACTCACTGAAACTCGTGACCATGTAGTATCGAATTCTCATATAGGTGTTGACGAGACCTAGGCGAGATCGGAAAAGCCTTTCCTAAGATACAATTTTGGGCTACCTACAAATGAAGATCCGTGATAAATTTCGAGGTTTCTCATGGCTCAAAATATAAGAATTTGATTTAATAATTAGGTCTGTAGAAAATAATAATGAAAGAAAGGGAGTGTCTGATCCTTGATCAAGAGTGTGAGGATAATAGTGGATCTGGCTAAAAGAGTATCGCAAGTGGAATAATATTAGCGAAAGTATTCCCTATATGGTTACTAATTTTTTCAATGAAGATAACTTTTATGCGATTTAATATAAAACACCTATACATAAATCAAGATATCGAATATTCGCCAGACGTTAAATTAATTTCGCTACTGTTGTTGGACAAACCTGATGCAAAAAAGTCATTTTCAAATGGCAGCTGGTGTTCCATTCTCCTGAATCCAAGCAAGTATAATATGTCTCCATTACGTCAATGCTTGGAGGATTTGAATTGGCCTCCACCTGAACAGCTAGCTCTTCAGTAATCTGGTTGATTTCCGCCAATAAGACTGGATTGAGTCGGGTCAACTGGTCTGTAGGAAAGACAGTGAGTGGCTCAGATTCGGGGTCGTATGGGAGACGACGGCCAGATACGAAGAGAGCGTCTGAAAGCCAAGAGCAATATTGGAAGAATTACATCAAATTAGAGTAGAACTACACATAAATATGAATCAAAATGCAAATGAGAGGAGAATAAAAGTCAATAAAAGATGTGAATCAAAAAGGGATATTTATAAATAATAAAGATATGCTTAAGTACAAACACCAACAGAAGAATCTTAAATAAAAACTGTATTAACCCGATGCCGAAGAGTGGATGGAAGACTGTAGGTTGAATTTTCACATTGATAGTTTCTAGGCCTACTCAATCTTAATATAACAAATAAAATATGCTTTATCGACAATCCCACAAAATTGCTGGGGTAGTGATATCATGTCAAAATAGTACGCTACATTATCATTTTCTGGGTTCGATTTATGTTGGAGCTGCTGATGACACTCAGGCGAGGTCGAAATTGCATACTACGTTTTGAAATGCAAGGCTAAATAAAATTCAATAGTATCATAAGGCGTATTAATATCAGACCTTAACACATAATGGGATTAGATTGAATAGAGCTCTTATTAAAGATCTACTGATAATTTCGAAACTTACTCAATCTGAATAAGAGAACCTTAACTGATGATGACCAAAATTTAAGTATGCGATCCCAAGCTGCTTTATGGGAAGAGGAAATTATTGATGTTGGAGTACCTTACATTTCGTCTGAAGAAGTAAGTGGGAATGGTTGGTGTCGCCTCTTCAAATAGATTGAAGAGTACTCCAACATCAATCTATTAAGAGATTCTTCGAAAATCATTTTTTCTACATAAAAAATTGTTTTTCTCGTTTTAAGTAGCTTTTCGAGACTATCAGTAAATCAGATACATAAAATGTTTTACACCCTATTTCGTTTAAGGTGAAGAACAGGTAGTTATATTTTTTCACAATCATATCAGTAGACCTTACGTTCTATTGAATTTTATATAGCATTGCCCTCCCAAAATAGGAGAGGACTGCATGCTCGACCTGGCCTAGTTATTATCAGCACTCCTAGCGGAACCCTTACCATGGCAATTCAGCCTATTATCTCGCCACATTAACCACTATGTCAGATTGCCACGAGTGCCCTCAGGTCACAGGGTAGATGGGGATTTAAAGGAACGAACTTTATAGTAACCTTAATTGAAATTGAGTGAATACATCTCATATATCTGATTTACTAGTCTCGAAAACGTACTAAAAACGAAAAAACCATCGATTTGTATAGCAAATATAAGTTTGCTTAGTCGATAATCCCACCAAAGAGTGATATGACAGGTCTGGACTTCCTAAAAATTCACATTTTACCTGTGACCCAGGGTCACTCGCGGCAATGTAGCGCAGTGGTCAACGTGTAGAGAATATATGCTGCATTGCCATGGTTCGACTCTCCCTGAAGAGGTTGATAAGACCTGGGCAAGGTCGAAACTGCAGTCTACATTGGATGAGCAAGACTGTGAAATGCATTGGAAACCTAAGGTCTACTTATATCAATATAAAAAAATTCAACCAACAGTCCTTCATTATATTAACAAAACAGGGTGAATACATCTCATAGGAGAAATTATGCTTATACTGAAGAAGCCTCAAGTCTGAATATATATATATATATACATATATAGTCTCTCAATTCAAATTTAAATTCGGACCAGGTTCTATAATTTGGAATATTCATTCGTCATAAGATTGATAGAGCCAGTAGATTTTAGAAGAGATAAACTTACACCAAAACCGCGCAACCGGTATGGATTTGTCACTATACATGACCACTTCTTAAATGAGTGCAGAAAGGTTAAATACTAAT